CCCCAAAACCCCAAAACCCCAAAACCCCAAAACCCCAATTAAAATAAAATTATTGCAAATCTGATATAAATATAAAAATGGTACTCGGCCATATCGCTTAAAGCTTAACTTTAAACCTCATCGGTCCAGACAGCATATTGTTGTGAGTAATTCATTAAAGTGAGAAGGGACATGAGGATATTGCTTTAGAGCAGTTCATATAGCAGTAGCAGGACATCCTCTTGGCTTAATGCTTAAAAGATTTTGCTCAGATTAATATTGCTGACTAGGAAATCCTCCTAAGTTTACTGAGTCATACTCAATACTCTAAAATTATCTCATAGCTTTCTTAAATTTTAATGTTTGCTTTACTAGTTCTCTAAATTTTAATAGTTTCTCAATAGGCTGATCCTCAAAGCAGTTGTCCCAGTGTTCGTGATCGCTTACTACATAATTTTGGAACGATATAAAGACACAGAATTGATGACAGATGACTCCATTCTTTACTTTGTCCAACTAGTAGTCTTCTTGCACTTCTACTCGAGGATCATTCGTAGTGCTTTTGAAGTATGAAAGAAGACTCAGGGTGCAATCTAGTTCTATCTTCCCCTCCTTGCTATTTTCTTCATCTTTAAAATTGTTTGGATATTTACCTTTGCAGTCCAAATAGATAGAACAATCTACTGGAGAAGATACATCTTCGAAATCATCTATGTTGCCATGCAAATCATCAACGGAACTATTTTAGGAGAGATGTCACAAGATTTTTGGTATTTCATAGCGGATTGTCTTATTGATACGCAAGTTTATACAATCTTCTTCAGAGACGAGCTAAACTACTCTGTGTTCAATTCCTTCACTCCTATTTTATTGGCAATCCTCACGTTTTTGTTAGTGAAAGGACTCTTGATTAATCATAAGTTTAAAGATCAACTATGAATGGTTAAGACTATTTGAAAGCACGATGCTATATACTTGATCTTAGTCTATGCTCTGGTTAGTTTCCTTGCTTATACTATTGATTTCTTTGCGAACACATACTGGGCAGCTCTAGGATTTATTTATGTGCTCCATAACATCATCATATTCCCCTCTCTAATGGAGTCAAAATTGATTATTCCTTTAATCACAAGTAAGATTTTCATGGGTCTTGTAGCTCTCTTACAACTCCACATTATGAACCACAGCCCTAATCCTTATCCAAGAGACTTAACAATCCACAAAGATCTGAGCACTAATGCTCCAAATGGGCACAACCTCCTCTCTCTCATCACAAACGCTATCCAATGCCAAGTCACCTCCTAGCCTGCTATAATCCCAATTAACCAAAAAAATTTCAATACTTTTCTTCCAAAACGGGGTTTTGGGGTTTTGGGGTTTTGGGG